TAATAATTACCATATATATATATATATATATATATATATATATATGAGGGGGAGAGAGAAATTTAAAGGAATTGGTTTATGCAACTGTGGAGGCTGGCAAATCAGAAGGCTGCAGAGCTAGTTGCAAGTTAGAAATTCGGGCAAAAACGATATGGCAGTCTTGATTCTGATGACTGCAAACTCAAACAGATTCCTGTGTTTCAGTCTGGAGGCAGAATTAATGAAGGCCTTCAACTGACTGGATGATTCTTACCCATATTATGGAGGGTAAATCTTGTTTAATCAAAGTCCACTGATAAAAAATGTTAAATCACATCCAAAAAATACCTTCACAGCAACATCTAGACTGTTTGACCAAATAACTGGGCACTATAGCCTAGCCAGCTTGACAGAGAATATTAACCACCATAAAAAGTAAACTTACCAAGAGCTAATAAAAGCAAAAGAATTCCAAACTGGGTTTGGATCAGAGTGAACAAGATTGGGTATCTGAGAAAGGCGGACAAGTGCCGCATATGAATAGAAGAGGCAGCGAGGTTGCAGATAACTTGAGTCTGCTGAAGCATGAAAATGGGGTCCGGAGCTACGTCTGCAGTAAAGGTTGTAGGTAACTAAGACCAGTCAGAAGCACACTAAGATGTCAGAACTGGGACTACTTAGGCTCTGTTAGACCAATGCACTTCATCGCATTGATTTTCATTGTTTGTTCTCATTCCCTTGTTTACTTATTAATTACATGCTGCTCCACTCAGAGCATTTTGACTTGCTTGAACATTTCTTAATTAGCTTGGTGTTGGTTTTGCTTGTCAGCTACACTATTCATTTCTGGAGTAATACTTCATACTAAGGCAGTTGTTGCTTGTTGACTGAACAAGCCAGCTGTAATTTCTCTGCACTTTATAGTGATGACAGTTTTCTTCAACCCAAGAAGGGCAGTTGACATGAGTAAGTTGCTTTCATTTCACTCCAGTTTTTTTTTGTTTGTTTGTTTGTTTGTTTTTCCAGTCAGGTACTCAGCAAACTTTGTATATTCTTTACTCTTCAATCATGACTTAATTATCCTGTGGGCCCACCAGGTATGCACATGTTATCTAAGTGAATTATTTTGTTCACAGGCTCCACTATCTGATTTTTACATTCCCATTTAGCATTTGCAGAAATTAAATTTTCTCCAAATTTGATTACTTTGGATAATACCATTAATACTGTGGTTTTTAATCTATTTGAAAGTCTTTGGGGTCTGTAAAAGGCACAGGGATTTAGAAAAGTAATTCTCACATATTGGTGTGTATAATTTAAATACCATGTAAAATATAGATTACTGGCTCCGCTTCAAAAAAAAATTATGATTTACTGTATATGAGGTGGGGCACAAATATGCATTTTAAACAAACTACAGCTTTCTCTCGTGTATGATTAATAGTGATTTGCTAATAATTCATTATGATGTAGTCTATACTTTAAAACGGAAACTTTCATTTAAGAATAATTTTAGATTTATGAAATAGTTGCAAAGGCTGTACAGAGCATTTTCATGCACATTTCACTCAACTTCCCCTAAAATTAATATCTTACATTGTACATGCATTTGAACTAAGAAATTAACAATGACATGTTACTATAAACTTCAGACTTAATTCAGATTTGTAGATTTTTTTTTATGCCCATGTCCTTTTTCAGTGCCAAAATCCAACCCAGCCTACCACAGTGAATTTAGTTGTCATGTTTCCTTAATCTAAAGTCTATGACAGGTTCTCAGCCTTTACTTGTTTCCCATGACCTTTATGATTTGGAGGAGTACTTGATAATTTTGTAGCATGTCCCTGGACTTGGGTTTGTTAGACATTTTCCACTCATCAGTGTAGAATTTTGGATTTTAGGGAAGAATACTACAGAGGTGAAGTGCCTTTCTCATTACATCCTACCAGAGGAGTGCATGATGCCAACGTGACTTCTCACTGCTGATATTAACACTGATCTCTTAGTTAAGGAGAGGAATATCAGGTTTCTCCACTAAAAGGTCACGATTTTTCCCTTTCCATATTCTATTTTTTAGAATCCAGCCCACACTCTGTGGAGGGCATTTAAATTCCACCTCCTGGAGGGACGAGTATCTATGTACATCATCTGAAAATCTTTGTAAAATTATTTGTAGCTTTTTCCTCAATTATTTATTTGTACAATTATTTATATCAGTATGGACTCATGGATATTTTATTTTATATTATGTTATAATTTTTAAATTTTAATTCATTTTGTTACATAAATTGTTTTAACTTTGGCCACTGAGTGCTCTTTCAGTTTGGCTCCTGTGTCCTTCTGATCTGCTTTTATTCTTTTGTTTTCTGAGAACATCCTTATTTTATGGCATTACATACTACTCCAGGCTCATCTCATATTTTCACTGCCCCAGGCCTAGAATGATTCATTTCTCCAAGGATGTCTCTGTGTTTTGCTCTTGTTATTTTGGAGAATGGTATTTAGAAGCCAAGATCTGGGTACTGGATGTACTTGTTGTTAATTGGGTGTCATTTTTTTCTAGCTTCTCTGCAGAGATAGAGCTATAAAACATATGCATGTATACTAATCTATATGTACACACACCTATAATTATTTCTTTAGCTATATATCTCTAAACATGTTTAACTGTGTATCATACATTTTTGTGTTCTTTGTTTTCTTATTAAGTTTTAAGAATTATTTATGTATACTAGATATGAGTCCTTTGTATAATATTCTACTTTAAAAAGTGAATTAAATGAAGTGGCTTTAAGGAACAAAAACTGTTTTAATGAACAGTCACATGAAAAAATTTTGTATACACCCAATTGAACTTTAGGTGATTCAATATGTGTTTTTCCCTGGGATTATTTGGAATATAGAAGAATTGTTATCAAACCCTCATGTATTTTAGGTAAGTAAGTACTCATATGAGCTTGCTAGTTACAATACTGTTAAAGAGAATTATTGAATCATTGGCTCTTGAATTTAACATACATTCCATGGAATATTTATAAGTAAGAAAGTTAAAAATAAATACGTATCAAATTTGATCTTACCAAATTCACATTAAGAAATCTAAATATCTTGAGACTTTAACATAGATTCTTATAATCAACAAATATGTGTGATATGTAAATATATAATGTTTGCTTCTCCCTTAGACACAGAATATTTTTATTTTCAAATTGTAGTAATACTATATAACAATAATTTACTCAATGCATTTTCTGTTCCAGATACTATACAAAATAATGTTATATAGATTATCTTGATCCATTTCTTTGATTTAATGAAATACCTAAGAGGAATATATATTGTGTCTATTTTGCAGAGGAGGAGCCAAAAGGAAGAGAGGCATTGATCATGCCTCATTTACAAAGAGGAATGACAATATACCTGCTAGTAATTGTAGAAAATATCATTCAGCTGCACATAAGAAGGGAAATAAAAAACCTTCTTTTCAAAAATCAGTAAGAATGTACAGAAAAAAAATGTGATGAGAATATGATATGCTTAAGGAATAATGCAGACTGTATTTGTCTATAATTAAAATTTTTTATAAAAATACTTTTCATAGTATTGTTTTAAGCACTATAAGAGAGAGAAAAATTTAAATGATATTATGCAAAGGAAAATCAAGGATTGCAACTGGACTGGGGGGTATAATGATATTCAGATTGGAAAGAAAGAAGGGAAACTGTCTTTATTCACAGATAACATTATCACATATATATATATATATATTTCAGTGAAATCTACAAAAATGCTCATGAACATAATGAGTGAATTTACCAATGTTGTATGATACAAATGGATATGTGAATATATATATATATATATATATATATATATATATATATATGCTAACAACAAAAAATTGGAAATTGCAATTAAAAAACAATACTACATATAGTATGAAAAACAATATTTAGGAAAAATCTGGAGTGCAAGATGTGAAAGACACACGAAAAATACAAAATATTCCTGAGAAAATGAAAATCACATCAGCAAATACAAAGATGTACCTTCCTCAATGGTCAGATGATTTCCTGTTGTTAACATGCCAGCTATCCTCAAATTGATATATAGATTCAACAGAATCCTAATGAAAATCCGAAGAGGACTTTTTTAGACATTGACAAGCTGACTTTAAAATTTCTATAGAAATTCAAAGGACCTAGAAGAACCAACTTTATAAAAGAACACTGTTAAAGAACTAGTACAGCCTAATTTCTAGATTTATTATAAAACTAATCAACAGAGTGTGAAATTTGTGTGAGAGATAAATCAATGGAAGAGAAAAGAGTGCCCAGAAACTGACCTTGAAAAATAGACAACTGGTATTCTACCAATTTCCAAATGTAATTCAGTGGAAAGATAGGTTTTTGAAAAACAGTTCTGAGATTATCAGATATACATAAACAATAGGTGTATTTTATAATATAAACTTTGATCTATATCTTATACTGTTTACAAAAATTAAAACAGATTTAAATTTAAAAAAACTTTGTGACCTATGGATAGGCAAAATTTTCACAGATACATCAAAAGAAGTACCATCTGTAAAAGAACATATTTATAAATTGGTCTTCATCAAATTAAAAAACTTCTCTTTGACATTGTTAAGACAATGAATGGGAAAAGGTAAGAAATGAAAAATTTACAAATCATATATCTGATAACCGACTTAATCTGGAACACCGCAAGGATTCTCAAAAGTATGATATCTAGCAACACAATTTAAAAATAGGAAAAAAAAATGAATGGCAAATATAGAGGTGTTCAATACCAGCAGTCATTAGGAAATGCAAATGAAACCCAGAGTGAGATTCCAGCGCACACCTGTTGGAATCCGGGCTGCGCATGTGACGTCAGCACCGCCCCGCCTCCCGGAAGAACCTGGGTTTCGAATGTCTCCTCTGGGTCTCCTAGCGACCAGAGCCGCACGGATCGGGAACCGCTGAAGCAGGAGAGGTGGCAGCCCAGCGACGACCACCATGGGGGACCAGAGGCCGCAGGACCGGCCGAGGTCCCCGGGCATGGACTCCACTCCCAGGTACTGTGACAAGCGGCCTTCCAAGTGCTTCGCGGATCGCAAGCACAGGCGCGTGAAGCTGCCACCCATAGACACGGAAAACTGGATATTTGTGAAGGAGGGCATGGACGACTTCCGCTACGGCTGTCCATCTCCCGAGGATATGCTCATTTGCCGCCGGGATGACTTCTTACTCCCCAAAATCTCTAGCAGAAGTCCGCATGCTGACCCCCAAAGCAGGCAGAAAAAGCTACTCAAGAAAGCGGCCCTATTTTCCAAACTCTCGCCAGCCCAGCTAGCACGGAAGGCGTTCGTAGAGGAAGTGGAAGGCCAGCTGATGGCTGAGCATGCCTTGGCCATGGTCTCCAATGTGGGAGCAGATATGCCTCCAGATCTACTACGACAGGTGCTGGAAGTGCTGGATCCCAAGAGAAAGCTGGAGGGTGCATGGGCTTGTTGTGAGGGCTCGGAGAAGGCAACCGAGGAACCCACTAAGCCTGGTAAATATCCTTGTGGGGAAATTTCCCCATGGCCTTCCGAGACTCCGCTGCTCCATCTCTGTCCAGAGCCTCTCAAGATTCTGCTGTCCATTCTCCTACCAGAGCCTCCTGAGACTGGAGTGTCCCATCTCTGCCGAGAGCCTCCCAAGACTCGCACATCTCATCCCCGCCTGGAGCCTCTGGAGACTGCAGTTTCCCATCTCTGCCCGGAACCTCCTGAGAGTGGAGTGTCTCAACTCTCCCCAGAGCCTCCCAAGACTCCAGTGTCTCATATCCACCCAGAGCCTCTCAAGACTGGAGTGTCCCATCTCCGCCCAGAGACTCTCAAGACTCCATTGTCTCATATCCACCCAGAGCCTCTCAAGACTGGAGTGTCCCATCTCCACCCAGAGCCTCTCAAGACTGGAGTGTCCCATCTCCGCCCAGAGCCTCCCAAGACTTGTCAGGTGTCCAGTCTCCGCCCAGAGCCTCCCCAAACTTGTCAGGTGTGCAGTCTCCACCCAGAGCCTCCAGAGCCTGGAGTGTGTCATTTCCACCTGGAGCCTCCCAAGACTCGTCAGATGTCCAATCTCCACCCAGAGCCTCTCGAGACTGGAGTGTCCCATCTCCGCCCAGAGCCTCCCAAGACTTGTCAGGTGTCCAGTCTCCGCCCAGAGCCTCCCAAAACTTGTCAGGTATACAGTCTCCACCCAGAGCCTCCAGAGCCTGGAGTGTGTCATTTCCACCTGGAGCCTCCCAAGACTCGTCGGATGTCCAATCTCTACCCAGAGCCTCTCGAGACTGGAGTGTCCCATCTCCACCCAGAGCCTCCCAAAACTTGTCAGCTGTGCAGTCTCCACCCAGAGCCTCCAGAGCCTGGAGTGTGTCATTTCCACCTGGAGCTTCCCAAGACTCGTCGGATGTCCAGTCTCCACCCAGAGCCTCTCGAGACTGGAGTGTCCCATCTCCACCCAGAGCCTCCCAAAACTCGTCGTAAGTCCAGTCTCCGCCCAGAGCCTCCTGACACTGGAGTGTCTCATGTCCACCCAGAGCCTCCCAAGAGTCGTCGATCATCCAGTCTCCCCCAGGAACCCCCCAAGACTGGAGTGTCTCATGTCCACCCAGAGCCTCCTAAGACTCGGGGGTCCATTTCTAGCCCGGAACCTCCTGACACTAGTGTGGTGTCCAATCTCCTACTAGACATACTGAAACTGCTGGATTCCCAGAAGGAGCTGAAGGATGCATGGGTTCGTTGTGAGGCCCGGGTGAAGGCAAACGAGAAACCCAGTGAGTCTGATAAATACCCTTCCCCAGAAGCCCTCCAGCAGCTTCCCGAGATTTTGATGCTTCCCCAGATTCGCTTAGAGAATCTCCGCGTACAGTCTCTCAAAACTCGTCGGGGGTCCCGTCTCCGCCCGGGGCATCCGAAGACTCGTCGGCTCTCCCGTCTCCGCCCCGAGCATCTGAAGGCTCGTCTGGCGTCCCATCTCCACCCAGAGACTCCCAAGACTCGTCGCGGGTCCATTCTCTACCCAGAGCCTCTCAAGACTCGTCGCGGGTCCAGTCTCCATCCAGAGCCTCCCAAGACTGAAGTGTCTCATCTCCACCCAGAGCCTCCCAAGACTCGTCGCGGGTCCAGTCTCCGTCCAGAGCCTCCCGAGACTGAAATGTCTCATCTCCACCCAGAGCCTCCCAAAGCTCCAGTTTCCCAACAATTATCGGAGCCTCCCAATATTCGAGCGTCCTTTATAAAAGCACTGTTTCCGGAAGATACAACAAGCACAAGGAAGCGTTCTCCTCAATTTAGATACACGTCAGAAAAACTCCGTGACTTCTTCAAGTGGACTGAAGAGATGGGAGCTGATGAAGAATCCATCAGGGATCTCTTTGATTTTACTCCTGAGTGCAAACCAACCTGGTTCGACCAAAAGATGATGAAGATAAAAGAGTGTTACTCAGAAATGAAGTACAGCAGGCAACTAAGTGAAAAGGATGAGGTCAAATTCTTCTCACAGGAACAAGTGTGGAACAGGAAAACACAAAAAGCACCCAATTCTTATACTGCACAGCCTGTGAAGATGAGGTATGGAGCATGGTACCTCAAGCCTAAGTTATGGAGAAAGCTAAGAAGTGATGAACCTTTGATTGACCCCAAGCTCTTACTTAAAAAGCCTCATAAACCCGACATTCTTGATGAACTTTATATACCAATCGCCTTTAAGGATTACATTCAAAGCAAGGGCTACGAAATGCCTGGCGTCATTGAAAAGCTGTTTACCAGGATGGGATGGAAATATGACACTGTTAAGACTCCTATGGAACGTGTAACAAAATATTTCAAGTACAAGCCAGAGGACACAGATGTAAGGAGAGAAAACTAGATGGTTTTCAATGGAGTATTTCTTGCTCTCATTTTAAACATCAATCAGAATTTATGATGACTGGCCTGGTAGGTGTACAACTTTGGCAACATCTGTAAATTCAGTATCTAATGTTTATACACATTTCTTAATCACCTGCTTTGGCTTCATTATTTCATATATTTTATCAATTATGTGATTAATATCACTGTGAATATTACATCATAATGTCAATTACTTGTAAAAATACATAAAACCAGAAACAAAAGAATTATCCTTAAACAGAGAAACAGGGTTAGGCACATTTGCTTATGCCTGTAACCCTCCCCACTTTTGGATGCATAGGTGTGCCGATCACTTAAGCCCAGGAGTTCCAGACCAGCTTATGCAACATGCTGGAACCTGGTCTCTACAAAAAATTGCAAAAATTAGCCAGCTGTGGTGGTGTGCATCTGTAGTCCCAGTTATCCGGGGTCGGGGGGTGCTGAGGTGGGAGGGTTGCTTCAGCCCAGAAGGTGGACACTGTAGTGAGCCGTGATCCTGCTACTGGACTCCTATTTGGGTGACAGAGCAAGATGTCATCTCATAAAAAAAAAAATATGCCGAGTAAAAGGAGAATTGTATAACTCCTCTTATATTAAAATTGTAGTGAAATAATTATGACAATTATTTTGTTTACCAAAAATTTGAGTCTATAGCCAAAATAATTTAATACTTTTTAATATTAAAATTATCTTCCTCTTTGAGATGCCATCCAACACACAAAAACAAGTTTGAAAACTATTTATGAAAATCATAAATGAAACTTGAGTTATGCCATTATATCTCTCAATCGAATGTATGCAAATTTTCAAATTTTCATCATGTTCATAAACCTTCACTACAAAAGACTATTACCAAATAATATAAACAGGTGCAGAATATGAGGTAGCTACAACTTCCTGGCAAATCTCATGTACAAAATAGATCTGCATGAGAAAAGCTACCAAGTGACATCAAATATCTTTACATATCTGTTCAAGTTCAAATAATTTTCATTTCACTAATAGCAATTTAAAATGCACTCATAAGTTTAAAATAATAAATCAAGCAACTTCTTTACCCTTCAAAAATAACAGTTAACATTGGTGGAGGTAAATTTGTAGCTAAATGTAGTTGTAGTATAGATCTGTAGTGCACTTTTTCTTTCAGAGATGAAAGAATCCATCTGTAAATGGAAGTATATGCATGTATTTCATCTAAGTAAGGAGTGATATATACATCTGTCTATGTGCAAATTCTGTTTGTAGTGAAGCTTGTCTGTAGGCAGTGTGTTCCTGAAGAATGAAGTTTTTTATGTTGTTTTCTAAGGCAAGGTCTAGAATTTCTCTTCAAATTCATCATCATAAACTTAGGTTCATATCACCACTATTATCTTATTTTATCTGCAACAATTTCCAACTCTTGTCTCTTCTTGAGTGCATTTTTATAAAATACAAGCATGGCTTGTTAATTCTCCAGGGTCCTCTAAACTTATCTAGGTACATAAACACACACACACACACACACACACACACACACAGACACAGGCATACATGCACATGTGCCTGCATTCCAGACTACAATCAATATTCCTTTTCTTCTGTATCTTTCTTGTATCTTCATAAATAATTTTCACTATTGTTAGGACTTCACTGAGGCCATGTAATCCTGTTTCAGTTTCTAAACACCAAGGTCAATTTCATGATTACTTTTATTAAGATCTTATATATGCAGACAGGGACACTCATTTCCCAGTTGTCTTCCACTGAAGAACTCACTTCAAAATCCTAGAGAAATTAGTCATTAATGCCTTCAAAATAAGGGAAATCCCCAAACTTATTTATTCAGACTTCAGAGAGGCCAATGTCATGCCTCATGACTCAGAGATATCTGGTTTCTTTTTTTCATTTTCTTTCTTTCCTTTTTTTTTTTTTTTTGAGATGGAGTCTTGCTTTGTCACCCAGGCTGCAGTGCTGTGTCAATGATCTTGATTCACTGCTACCTCTGCCTCCTGAGTTCAAGCAATTCTTCTGCCTCAGCCTCCCTAGTAGCTGGAACTACAGGCACACACTACAATGCCCAGCTAATTTTTGTATTTTTAGTAGAGACAGGGCTTCAGCCTATTGGCCAGACTAGTCTTGAACTCCTGACCTTGTGATCCACCCCTCTCGGCCTCCAAAAGTTCTGGGATTACAGGTGTGAGCCACTGCACTTGGCCGAGTTGTCTGGTTTCTGAAGTTCTCCACTGAAGCTTTGGGCTTCATGCTGCAGCATTCAATGTTAAGTTTCTTTCAGCAAGAGACAGACCTAGTTTTCCACATTTTGTTATGTGACCTTGCACTTCACAGAGGATGTATCCTCATCTACACAATGGACACCATATGATGAAACTCCAATTCTAGTGAGACTTTAAGGATTACTATTAAAGTGCCTAATGCCTCAAACATCATAGAATTGATACTCAACATGTATTTGTGGAAAAGGAGGGAGTAGGAAAGGAAGAAGGGTCTTATAAAAATCACGACAGAAAGACAGCAATAAAATAACTTTTTGATGGTGTTTATCTGATGACAGCCTTCATCTCTATTACACACAAACTTAGCCTTTGCTTAAGATGAAAAAGTAGTGCTTGCTTTGACTGCACATATACTAAAATTAAGATGAAAAAGTATAATTACAAAATAAGAGCCACTGGTTAGGGCTGCTATTGCTTATTGGCAATGACTACTTCCAGTGAAATAAACTTTCCTCAGAGAAATTATGTGGGTTTCTCCACACTGTTATTATATACATTGGTATTATTTGTCACACAGATATAAACAGAAAAAATAACTGATCTTTTTTGATATTTAACACCACTTGGCTTTCTGAAAATATCTGGATTTCAAATCCGTAGGTTTTAGAAAGAGAGGGAATTCAAGATGAGTTGATATATAACTGTCCCTGTGTAGCCTAAAGCTATGAATGATATATTCCATAAATATTGTAATAATCAATTATATTACAGCATCACATAGGTTTCATAAAGGCTTTGGAGAATTGAACTGAAGGAACATGTGATTTAACAAAAATGATGGGAATTATTTTTTATTTCTCAGAGTGCATGAATGAGCAAGGCCTTTGGAGCTAGGCAAAAATGAGTTCATATCCCAGTGCTGCCACACTCTTATCCTGAAGCTTTAGGCAGAGGCAGAACAGGTGGAGGGAAAACACAGAGGGTGGAAGCTGGGAACCCTTCCCATGGCCACCATGCACTAGAATGTGTTCCTGGCCCCCAATATCTTTTACAAAGGGGATGTGTTTAAAACGCAACCCAAGGCAAGAAGCAACCCAATCTCACTGTAGACCTTTGGAATCTCAGCAGGAGGAGACTCTTCAACCACCAGAGAGACTTGAGTTGGCAGGTAAAGTTTCTTAGAGAAGTGATAGTGGCACAACTCTAGCCAGGGACAGAGTGCAGAGGATGTCCTGTAGCAGCAACTGTAGTGGAGCACTCTCAGAGGCGTCCATCTCCCTAGGCTAGAATCACTCTCATAGGACAATTTAGCCCCAGGAGAACTTTTGGACCTAAACTCTACAGGGCAATCTCATCCATGAGACAGGACCAGTCCAACCAGAGCACCTCTCAGTCTGCTGGCCTCCTGCAGGGCCCCAGCCTGGCCACAGCTGTTTGCAGTTCAGCTGCCAGGTGCCTCCTGGGGCCCGCATAGTAGCTGGTGGATGATGCCTGACTGGCAGAGTGACCTCTGCAGACAAATAAGAGCTCATTTGCACCAATGGTTACCTTCCGCATTGTTATGCCTGTGACTGTCTGCCCAGGCAGACCTAGCCTTCTCTTCCCCACCAGTACACTGGTACTGGAACTCCTGCATCTTGTCTTGACATTGCTGCTGGCATGATTGCACCCCTTCACCCCTCCTCACACCTCACCACACCACCATTGTCTTCAGAACATTGGCAGGCTCAGAGAACCCCAGACCCACCCCTGCTAGCACCCTGCCCCTGAGCCTGGATCATCAGAGCAAAACTAGACATGGAAAAGAGTAGACAAGCCCTTAAGCAGACTGCTGCCAGTGTGAACATGCAGAGGGCATACAAAGTCCTACACCCACCAGTGCTCCAACTCTATGCTAAACTCACATGCACACTGTCTCAGTGGAGATTCGTCACCCCCACCAAGCCATATGGCCACCACTGCTGCTGCAAATATCCACATTAAGGCTACTACCCCAGGACCATGAGAACCCTGCTGCAGCAAATGGCATGTGCAATCTTCAATGCTGCTGCTGCTGCCACTGCTGCTGATGACACATGGGAACAAGGACAGATCCCACTGTCACTGCACTGTGAAGTGCTCTGGCTGACACCACCAACTGGAGTGTTGTGACCAGTGGTCTAGTAGCACCTCAGCCTCTTCAGTATAACAGGTCCGTAAACTGGAGGAGCCAAAGATCAAAGGTGGGGACTGATACCAGTCTACCAAAGTTACAGCATGAGATCCAGGCAGAGTTCTGAGCTGAGCCTTGGCCCCTGAAAATTTTCAGTCATGAGGTCAGTTGACTGAATCTACCTTATATCACAATCAAAACCCCACAGTCATCAAATAGGATGAAAGAAAAATAAATAGCACATCCACAGGAAAGCAACTTCAAAGATTTAAGAAACATCAGCCCACAAAGATGAGAAAGAACCAGCACAAGAACTCTGGCAACCTAAAAAGCCAGAGTGTTTTCTTTTCTTCAAATGACTGCACTGGTACTCCAGCAAGGGTTCTTAATTGTACTGAGATTTCAGAAATGACAGAAATATAATTCAGAATAGGGATAGAAATGATCATTGAGATTCAGGAGGACACTGAAACCCCATCCAATGATCAAGGAATTAATATAAATTAATATAAAATGACACATGAGCAGACAAATAGCCAGTATAGAAAACAATGAATCTGACCTAACAGAGGCAAAAAACACTCTACAAGAATTTCATAAAGCAAATCGTAT